TAATAAAAATAATTATAAGTTATAAAAATTAAAACTGTTCATATTATATTTTATCTTGTTTATAATTATTAATAAAATAATCTTACATTAATATACTAATAAATATATTTTAATAAATATTATATTATTACTATTAAAATTATTATTTATTTCTAAAATATTCTAACTTATAAATAATTTATTAATATTATCAAGTAATATATATTAAAGTAATTATTAGAAAATTCTAATTGTTAATTTTTGAAGTATTAAAAATAAATTTATATAAAAATATATTTAAAATTTTTTATTTTATAATATTTAATTATTTATAATAGAAAAAAAATTTTTATCTATAAAATAATAATTTATTTATATTTATTTATTGAAATTTAATTTAATTTTTTTAAATTTTATATTAATATTTTAATATATTATAATAATTATTATTTATATTAATTAATATATTATAATAAAAAAATATTAAACTATTAAAAATTAAATAAATAAGAGAATCTATAAATATATATATAATATTATATTTTTGAAAAAATTTTATAAAAGTAAAGTTTATAAATAATATTAAATCAGATAGCTTTTTTGAATTAATATCAAATAAATTTAAATTCTTAGTATTATTAATAAGCTAAAAATATAATTATTTAATTTTTCAAAAGATAAATTAATCAAATTTCAAGATTAATATATAATAAAAAATTCAAAATAACATGTATTTTGAAATTTTAATTAAAGAATTTATCTTTTATATTAAATTACAAAATATAAAATATAAATAGTATTTCTATTATAATTAAAATTAGAATTAAGATTATATTATATATAAGTATTTAAATTAAAAAATATAATAAATAGTTTTATTACTATTTAATAATTTTAGAATATAAATTTATAGAATATTTAATAAGATCAAAAAAATTAAATTAGTTAATTAAATATAAAGTAAAAAAATTTATTTATAATATCTATAAATATTTATATTTATTTTATTATATATTAATTTTTTGGAATTATTAACTTTATAATAGTTATATTATTCTAAATTATAAGTTTATTATAAAAAATTTTAAAATTAAAATAATATAATTATTATTTAATATTTTAACAGATTTTTTTAATATTATTATAAATATTCTTCTGATTAATAATTTTATTAGACTGCTATTAATAATTTTATTATTGTCTTGCAGAAGAAAATTGAAATTTATAATTAATTATAAAGAATAAATCATTTTTTAATATATATTATATATTTCTATAAATAAATCAGTTTCTAAATTAAATTTATGCATGCATATATTAATAATATAATATTTTCAGATACTATTTGATAGATAATATTTTTTCTATAATAATTTGAAAAATATATATAGTATATAATTGGATTTTGATTTATTATTAAAATTTTTAATTTTTAAATTATGTATCTTATATGTCAGTGAGTTTAAATACAGAAACATTTTATCAGTGAAAGCCATTATTTTGAAATAAAAAGTTATTCATTATAATTTTTCTATATTTAAAATTTTTGGATTTTTTTTATTTATTTATAACAGAATTTCTTTAAATCTCTAAAATAAAAATTAACTATTAAATATTATATAATAATCTTAAATTTTCTATTTTAACATATAAAATATTTCTAATTCTCAAGATATTTATCTCACAATAACTAAAATTACTTCTTTTTTGAAAGAATTTGCAATGCATTTTCATAAAATTAAATAATTATCAAAATGTTGCTCATTTCTTTATTCGATCAATCATGTAATCTCTGTATGTAAACAAATTTCATAAAAATTTCGCAGAATTCGTTTTTCAAATAACTAGAAGTTTCAGATCCTTGCAGATACAAAATAAGTCAATTCACTTTTTATTTTTCTCTCCCTTGTTTGAACAATAATTTTTCAAAGTTGCTATTTTACCGGTATCGTTATTTTCATGATAATTTTAAGTCACTATGCACATACGATTCTTAACAATAATGAAATGTTGGTCAAATACATTACTTAACTGATTGATCATGAAAATATTTGAATTTGAACAGTAGAACAATTTACAAATGGCACGAAAATGTTCATATTTACTGCTAATTTGTGTATTTGCAAATGCTTGTTTATAGCTTGTATATTGAGAAACTAAGATAACTTAGCTATAAATATATTTAGAGAACATCATGAATTTCTTTGAGTTTAATAATTTATTTTTTTAATTAAATTATATGCTTTCAACAAATCAAAAGCTTTTATTTACGTTGATTTTTTGTCTTTACTTGAATTCTGCAATTAGTCAAAATTTTATTTTACCTAATACTACAACATGCACAGTCTAAGGTAACAATTGTTAGTACATGTCAAAATACAACATATGGATTTTTTGATGAATACTTTTCAAATTGCTTTGAGCTATTAACTATCTGTTTCTGCTCGACGGATTCTGCTTTATTGACGAGTAAACAAATGTGATTTAACTTGCAATTAAACTGCGATAAAGACTTTAAAAGAAAATATTCAAAGAGACTTGAATGGGTGACAAACGGTAATATTCTAAATTTTATACGGATATGCCTATCACGCTTCTTTGATTTTTGGTCTACCAGACAATCCCCAATAGACAGGCTATGTGAGATCAAACTTCTGATAAATGCAAGCATTTTTATATATACGTTACTTATTATTCATATTATAATACTATTAATAAACTGTATTTTTTTTCTAAAATATAACCTACTGTGCTATAACTGTTGCTACAATGTTATCAAATAATTTTCGATTGGTCCATCGATAAATTTACTGTATATTTATTCCACCTCAAGGAAAATTTGGATACGGTACACCCAAAAAAACATAAAAATCACTTGCAGTGACTGTTTCTTATTGGAAAGGCCTTGGATAATTGCCTCGAAATAGATTGGATAAATAATTAAAGAAATTATACTCAATCTTCACAAACATCTACAAATAGTAGCGGTGAAGTGATAAAAGATTATTTGAGTTTAGTTTCCGTATAGAAATACATGTACATGTCATGATAGTTCGCAATAATTTTTCTAATGCATTGTATGTACACTGTAGCATGGAATTGGACTACGTCATCATGTAGATTCCGATCCGCGTGATATTGGGCACGGGATCAGATCTCGTGATTAGTGAAATTAGCAATGTACGGGGGTTAGTGAAGTTATTATATGCAACCGGGATGCAGCCTCAGATTGATGCATTGTTGGGGAAGATGGGGAAGATGGTCTGATATGGAGTGCACCAAATAAATCCCGAATATATGATATGGAGTGCACCAATAAATCCTGAATATATGAAGGTGTACCAATAAGGCGCCGACTAATGAATCAAAATAAAAATGATTCATTAGTCTTGCGATGCGGGATCACGACGAGAATTGTGGGAGGAAATTTGATTATAAATAAGGAGGGCTTTAGAATAGAAAAGAAAAAATAGAATTACAATTAAGAATTAAGTTCAGAACTATAAAATAATTTACCATTGTAATAAAAGTTTTTATTAAATAAAATAAAGATTACTATTATTCTTAAATAAACGCATACATTCCTTTGAATCATTATTGATCTGTCCCCACACTCTCTATTAATAAAATAGTCTATCCTAAGGCTACGAACACTAAATAACGAAACTACCTACGAATTACCTTCTTAGGCAGGAACTAGCGCCATAACTTGGAGAACCCGATCAACTCGATAAAGGGTCGGAGTATTAATCGACGAAATTATAAATTAATTAACGGAAAACTAATTGGGAAACAACCCGTGATCGTACAGTCTCACGGATTACTCGGTAGATCCCCCACATCTATTCCAATGTGTATGCAGATCGGTCGTGTTACAAATTTAAAATCAAATGCTTATCTTGAAATTTTAACTATAATTATGCTCTTGTTTGTTGTATAACCTTAATTCTAACTTCAATTAAATTTTCAAATAATTTATTTAATTAACAATCATGACATAATCAATTGTTCAATAAAAAAATATTTATGCAAAATTTCTTAGACTTTAATAAAATAAATAGCTAATGTATACTTTATATAATGAATTAATTATGAAATAATATCAATTTTTCCTTAGGTCAATATTTTGTAATTAAAATCAATAAATTTTGTATAAATATCATATTTAATATAAATTATTACTATTATCATTCTTTATAAATTGTTCCAAATCACTTGCTGAAAGATATTTGATAGTAATGAATTTTGTAAAAGATTTCATTCAACCTTTTTACATTTTGAATACATGTGTTTTGAATGAATGAGATTCTAATTTAGTAAATGGGCCAACTAATTTGGGATATTTTAGTTACAACATAGTTTTTCCCAGTTTTGACATTTGACAAAATCTTTTGTTAGTTTGGGTAACATCAATAACCTGTACATTCTCATTTTATTGTTTATAGATGATAGAAATTGTTTCATTTCTTTACCTGTTACATGTAATATGAATTCATTGTTGGTGATGATTTAGATCAATACAACATGTATTCGTTGTTCGCCAGTATGTACAGTTAGTTCTGTACGTACCCAACTGAAACTCGTATGTACGAATGATCATTTATAAATGGTCATTTCATAGTACATGTACAATGTGCATGTAAATTTTTGTTCGAGAAATCTTCATTATCGCGCTGCGTGGTAATCATACTCGTCTATGTAAATGTTCCATTGAATTTTTCTGTTGTGTACCCTTTAAAAATTACATGATCTACAAATTTCCTTCGATTCCGGTCAATCACGCGCCACTTATTTTCGGAGTATAAGGTAAATATAATGCTTGTATTTTGAAAACTGTCTAAAAAGGTTTTTCCTATTGTCGGAAATTGAAACGAACTTTGCTTGCGCCAATATGGCGTGAAAATTGTAGTGCTACACCGGTATCGTGTTACAGAGTTGCGAGAATACTGTATAAAAAGTGAATTAGTTGAGAGGTCTGAATTTTGGATTACTATAATTCTTTAAAAACCTTTTAGTTCAAAATGTCTCAAGCTTCCTACCAAACACAGCCGCAGATGATGCAAACCAATATTCAAGGCACATCTACACCAGCGCCAACTCAGCCAATGACATGGAAACATGGATTGTTTGATTGCTTTAATAATATGGGCGACTGTAAGTATTAATATATATTATTCTGGTCATAACTAAATTTTAATAATTTTCATTGGATTATCCAGGCTGCCTGGCTTGCTGGTGTCCATGCATAATATATGTAAGTTTTCATGAATAAATGCAAATTCAGTTTTATTGTCAAATCTTTAATCTCTATGCATGTTTCGATGGCTAGGGCAAAACTAAATCCAAAGCGGATGGTTCAGACGAAACTGCCCAGTGTTGTTGTTTCTTTTGCGCAATGTGTATTGGCTTCTGGTGCTGTCTTGGAACCGTAAACCGTGGTGATCTTCGTAACAAGAAGAATATTCAAGTTCGTATTCTTTTATGAATGCATGACTATGCTATATACCTTTGCAAAATTTGAATTTAACTCGATATATAATAGGGAGGTCTTATTGAAGATGCAGCCATTTGGTGGTGTTGTACCCCATGTGCATTGGTCCAAGAACATCAGGAATTCAGTGATTCGTAACTTTATAGAACAAATTTACAAATTATCAATTATTCACTATCCAATTTAATGATTATTTATTATATAAATTAAATGATTAAAATTAAATGATTACATTTTTGACGCTGAATATATGCAGTGTCTGTAGTAATTCCAAATCAACATAGTGATCGAGTTGTGTTGAATTAAGGATTTGAAACAACCCTGGTTGATACTAACTCCTAAATCAATTTAGGTCGAATCAGAATCAACTCAAATTCAGTTTCAACTCATGATATATCTAAAGTTTTGTTATTACGCACAACTATCTAAATTGCGAATGATAATCTAGTACAAGTTCCTAAAGTACAAAGTGTGAATTTTTATTCTAAAGTTATTAGGTAGGTTACGAAATGAAAAAAAGTTTAATTATTATTATCATTATTATGGATCACGAAGAAAAAACGTCAAAGTTTGGGTTGTGATGCCAAAACTCTTTGATTGGAGAGTTACGAAATAAAGGGAATCGTTGTTAATTATACAAGATAGAAACTTTAATATAATGTCGCGAGTGCAAGATAAGAATTTTTATAAGTTTCGTCTATCAATCATATTTTTAATTTCTCGTTGCATAACAGTTAGAATTTCTGTAATCACAAGATTTTTAGTTGTGATAATAATAAATTGGGGAAATATTTTGACCACAGACGCGAATACGTATACATCTCAAATAAAGAAAATCTTTTTCTCACACCAAAACGATTAAAATTCGCGCAATAAGAACAATATCGATAACAATAAAATATCGAACAAGAATAAAAAGTTCTAAAAATGTCCTTACTTGAGAAATCCATTTCGAATGACATGTATATCATTCCAGGAACCAGCAGTCAAGAACTTTTAATTTAATCTGAAAATACTGGTTCACTGCCACTGCGATGTTGACGGTGTTAGTCAAACTTATAAGACACTCGTAAATAATAACAAAAGATCGAATTTCGGCGGCGGTGACACAAGACCCATTAGGCACGTTCAATCAGCATATTGACGCGATGTGTAACTTATCATACATACACGAAGACAGTTAAAGGGTAATCCATCATGTGATCAATCCCCTTAAATTTTCAGAGGGCAGAGAACAAAAGTGTATGTAAAAAATTTGCGCACCCCTATTGGACATGATCACATGATGTACTACGCTCGGTTAAAAGTCCTTTATATATGTACTCATTTAGAAAAAAAGTATAATTTTGATATGATAATTTGATCATCATTCTATCACTATCATTTGTAATACATGTACAGTATATCATGCTTACGCGTCAAACATGACAATTATTACGAGTATATATAAAAAAGGGAATAAATCTAAACAATAAACTTACCTTGTTCTATTCGGCTTTCCGTTCTTCAACAATGGGAGATAGTAACATCGAAAACGGAAATATTTTTTGCTTTCAGTTTGCAGGTGTCCAACCTGAACAACCTAAACCAAATCGGACACAACAGCCACAACAATTGCAACTAGCACCATCACAACCACCACCACAGCAGCAAAGGCGTGGCCCAACAACGCTGCAGTTGGACCAGCGCATGCAGCAACAGCAGCAAGAGATACAAAATATTCGTCAGCAGCAGCAGGAAGAAATGCAAGATGTTCGTCAGCAACAATTCTTACAACACGTTGATAACGTGTTATTAGTTAATTGGCAACAGCAACAACAAAATTTCAGGTTGCTAAATGAGCGTTATGAACAAGTGAAGCAGTGAATTTAAACACTAGAACCGCGAAATCAAGCACTAGTGCAACAAGTGACACTAATGCGGCTACAGATTCAACAGCTGCAAAATCCAGCACCACCTCCTCAACCACAACCACAACAGCAGTAGCGACAAAATATAATATTTGCGACATGCGCTGTGGTCACTGTTGCTGTGGCGAATAGAAATTTATTTCCATCTGTAATCTTCATATAGAATTACTGTAAAAAATAATGTTGATCAGATTTTGTTTTATAAAAATGACACGAATCATTATGCTTTTCACCTCACAGATGATTGAATAGTATTGAAGTTCTGCCGAGCTTACAGAATAACAGTATGGTACAGATGGTAAAAATGATAAAGTATGACTTGTACTATTGGTATGAAAATTATCATGACTTTATCTAGTAGTGTCTTTTTTTTGTGTATCTATATCAATTTGTCGCGTTTCTTATAAATTGCTTTGATAGTGATATACTAATATTGAAAACTGATTTGGACCATCAGAGAAATAGTGCAATTCTATCTCCGTTCCGAACATAAAAGCTGACGCAATACGCTTATGCGTAACTAGGATGAAGTGCGCTAGACTAGATAATTTACTACTAAAGGGTCTATTTAATGTTCTAAAGGTTTCCCGTGGCGACTTGACCGCAAATCGACCTGTAACAAGCGAAGTTTCTGATAACGAGGGGTCTACCCCCGAAATTCCAACATCCCGACAGTCCAACATCCCTACAACCCAATATCCCGAAATTCCAACCTCCCGACAACCCAACATCCCGACAATTCAACTTCCCTACAATCCAACCTCCCGACAACCCAACAACCGACAATCCAGCATCACGACAACCCAACTTCCCGACAACCAACCCAGCTTCCCGACAAAAGCCAACTTCTTCGTGGAATTACGCACAATCTTTCATTGTAATGATATGTGTTGCTTTTATTCTTTTATATAAGATTTACGTTCAATTTCCTTAACGTTTTATTATATGTAATTTACGTTCAATTTCCTTAACGTTTTATTATATGTAATTTACGTTCAATTCCCTTTTATGTTAAATCAGTTAGTTATTAACGAATTAAAAATAAAGTTGCGCAATTACCAAGAATTATTTATCGCGTTGATGTTTAAATGTTAATAAATGCCAGTTGTCGATCCCCATAATGGACTAGCTTGTTGGGAAGTTGGCTTTTGTCGGGAAGTTGGGTTGTCGGGAAGTTGGGTTGTTGGGGTGTCGGGATGTTGGGCGGCGCCCATTACTTACGGGATAAAGTGTTCACAAATAAACTTGTTTAAGCACAGAATAATGCACATATCAAATACATACAAGCCAACCTCCCTATAATGACGGAATTCTCTCTATAGCGACCAAATTTTCTAGAATGATTCATATATTACATGTACTATAGGAAAATTGACCTCTATATAATGACATTCTCTTTATAAGGACAAAATTAGCTGGATATTTGATGTCGTTACAGAGAGGTTTGACTTGTATGTAAAACATATTAATTTCTTGATATATCAAGAAATATCTATAATAAGCTTCTTATTTTAATTCAGCATATCGATTCATGTATTAATCTATTATTTTTGATTGGGATTGTTATTCCTATTATGATTGTAATTAAAGTACATTAGGCATGCAAATTTTATCAAATGTATGAACTTCAGAGAAGATGTAGCATATTTATCAGTAATAATAAGTGAATAATACTGCAGTCAAACCTCATTAAGCTGAAAGTGCTCGGTGCTATTAGTAAAGAATCGAGGGAAATTTACTATAACTGATCCTAGAAGCAAATGAACTTATTTAACTTATAAGAAATGAAGTGTAACAATGTCGTATAGGATTAAATGATGCTGACGAAACTATTTCATACGGAGAATGATGTTACGAACTATTCTTCAGATTAAAATAAAATAACAAATAATTACTATCAAGAATTATACAAATAAAAAACAATTTTAAAAATGAATCAAAAGTTAAAATAATATAAATTAAGAACTAAATTATTATGGTTCAGTAAAAATATAGATACACGAAGATATTCATTATATAAATTTTTAAAAAATTCTAATTCTAATTTTAACTATATAAATATAATTATATAATATTTAAGAATATTTTTTAATATATAATATATAATTATTTTATATAAAAATTATTATATAATTAATAAAAACTTTTTAAATTCTCGTTTTTTAATTTTTTTATCTGTAATATATAGAAATTTTTATTAAATTTTATATAATAAAATATAGAACTTGAAATCTAAATTTCTTCTCAATTAGTGATTCAATTTTGCTAAAATTTGAAATATATATTTATTATATATTTAGCAATACACTTGCTTAATATGAATTTTTAAAATTGCAAATTCACAATAATATCTTAAAATTACAAATTTTATTCAAAAATAATATTTATTAAGATATGTTTTATTTATATAAAAAAATAATAAATTTTATTAATAATCAAAAGTATATCGATCATTATATGATAATATAATATAAATAATATACTATTTAATGCTTTATATTATAATAAAAATCAGTTAATATTAATAATTTAAAATATTTTTTACTTTAATAAGAGAATACAGATGAATAATTAATATTTATTAACATCCTTGAAAAATTTATTAGAAAAATAATAAAAGATATTTACTATATTAATAAATATAAAATTCTTATAAAAGATTCATCTGTATATAAAAGATAAGTTCATGATCTTTGAAGCAGAATAAAAAAGGATGCAAAAATAAAAATAAGATCTCTTACTTATTATAATTTCTTTTTTTGTGAAACTATTATTTAATTTATGCTTTGTATAAATTAATATTAAAAGAACTTTGCTCTAAATAAACTATAATAACAATCAAAAGTAATGCAACATAAAATTGAAAATTATTAAATTATAATATTTTTGTATAGACTTAAGAATATCAAATTATAGTTAATAAATTTAATTATTTATATACAAATAACTTAAATATAATAAATTTAATATGAATTATTAAATCAATTATATTATAATCATAATATTTATTCAATTTTTAGTATTATATTATATTTGTTTATTTTTAATATAAATTTATATAATTCTTAATATAAAATAAAAATATCATATTTTAAATATATCTAATATATTATCATCTAGTATAATTACAATATACTTTTATTATATCACAAATTCTTTCTAATCTAATAAATTAAATTTATATAATAATTCATATTAATTTCCTTTCAAACCAGCTATATTTTTTTTATAAGTCTTTCATATCTGAAATTGATTTAGAAAGATACTAAAAATACTGATTTACTTCATTTCATAAATATTTAATTGAATTTAGATCAGGTAATTATGTTAATCAATCTAAAATAGTAATATTATTATTATCAACTACTCTTTCATCAAATTGGCTATATGTTTGGAATTATTATCCTGTTAGAAAATAATTTTATTAATAGCTAATCCATGTTTTTTAATAGTATTTATAAGATTTTTTTCAAGAATTTGTTGATATAATACATTATTCATGTTCTTATTGATTCTATAAAAGTTACTGAAATCAAAAAAAGTAAAATAATTCTATATTATTACTTTCTCATCACCAAATTTTACCATAAGTTTGATATGATAACTTTTTAATAACTCATCTATTCTTTTCTAATAGTACTATTTTCTATCAGATCTAAAAATCTGAAACTTAGATTTATCAGACCAGATTATCTTTAACCAATCTTCATAGATCCAGTTTTTATATTTTTTGATGAACTTGAGATGATGTTATTGGTTTTTGGACTTTAGATATGATTTTTTTTGTTTTATTCTCATTACTAAACTATTCTTTTTTAGTATATGACAAACAGTATGCTCTGAAATTTCAATATTTTTAGTTTCACAAAGACAATTTTGGATGGCAATGGAAGTGAAACAGTCACAGGATGTAATAAGATGGACTGTTATTCTTTCTAATGGTCATTTATTAACTGTGGATGACTAGACTTACTTATATCATTTAAAATTGCTATTCACTCCATTTTTTATTAATACGTGAGACAGTGAAAGGACTAATTTTACAAGTTCTTGCTATTTCTCTTGTGATGTATCCATTTTGAAGTGAAACAATTATTTCAGCTCTATCTTCAAGAGTTGTATGATATTTTGATGTTTGTTTTTTATTATTAAAAACAAAACAGTTGTTTATTTTGCGACTTCTGTGTAGCATTTACTTACCATTTGATCTTCCAAAAAAAAAGATCAAAAGAAATGTAACACACTTATTTGTGCAAGTTCGTGTATTTATATTTATCTCAAAATTGTGTTTAATAATAGTAAATTAAATTTTAATGAATAAAACTGGTACTATTAACATATTTATTTAAATTTTGTTAGCTACTTATAAATATATCATGATTTAACAATTTTCAATTTTACCGTTACGCTGCATTACTTTTGATCGCCACTGTATATTATTTGTTTTGTTGGTATAGCGATAGGATTACTTTTTAACCGTTATATTTCTCTAGACCTTATATTTTTGGAAATTGATGTGACAATAACATCAAAACTTGGTTTTCATCGCCAAGAAATATAATGAAATTAATGAAATAAAGAAATTGATGAAAATAAAATTAAATGTAAATTTACCTTCATTTGTAAAAAAATGTATATTACACACGAATTTTATAACAAAGATATTGATAGTCTAATAAAAGAATAAAGGACCATTTGGAAAGATTTACCAACTTTGCAAAGGTGATTTTAAATCAGTTTATAAAGCAATTTAGTATAACAAATGGAAGTGAATAATTCTAGTTCATGATAATAAATTTAATTGACATGCACGTATTAAAAGATTTCTGTCTATAAATAAAGAAAAATGATTTCGCATGGTCAAAAGTGTTAAATGAAATGACAATTAATGACGGTGATAAAGTTTCAATGGTTTATTCATATGAAACTATATATAAATTATAAATACATGTATATGTACATGCATATATAAAATTGATAAGAGAGTAATGATCAAACTTAAATAGCGCACATACACGAAATTTAAATACATTTGAGTGGTTATTCTTGAACTCACTCGCATACCTTCATTCTTTATATTAAAATCTAATAAAATTAATGTAAATATTCAAATCAATCTAAACTGTCATTTACTTGAATATAAAAATAAATGTATCTGTTGAAGTAAAGATTCCACTAGTATAGGAATTTTCATCTCCTCGTCAAATTCTTTCAATTCTGTCTTTCTAATTCAATATACTCATTGATTTCTTCATTTGTATTAGGATATTCTAAAGAATTTAATTACTGAAAATGATGGTATTCGGTTCCCACCAATGTTCGAATAGTTCGCAAATAAAGTCAATAAAGTAGTAATGTTTCCCAGCAGTTGATCTGTAGGATCCCAAAATTTTTCAATAATAAATTTGCACTTTATTTGATATTGTAGGTCGTATTCCTTTACAAAAGTCTAAGACGAGAGCTCTACCATAACTTTTGGTCGTCCACCAGTTACAATCTCGTACATGATCATTTCCGAAAATATAATTATTTTCTGCTTTAGGGCATGGCTTTTATTTAGTAGTTAAAATCAATAATGAAACTTAGTTAGGTTTTTAATTATTTCATAATAATTCATAGTAAGCGCTATTTAGAAATAGTCCGAATCTATTTTTGAAAAACTTTATTGTATTAGAAAATAAAAAAGCATCAGTTTACACATTCTTCATGAATTCCAAATAAGACAATCAACACGTTATTGCAAAATTTTACGCTAATAAACGAGAATTTTTCTGAGTTATACATGTAAAATTCGTTGAGAGTTTACGTGTACATGTATGTAGCAGTAGTGATTCAAATTCTCGCGCATTATGAAATGTACATTTACATGTCAATCTAACGATTAATTAAATAATAACGATCCTTTTCAAGATACATGTGCATATTTTGACAAGCGACTGAATTTCTCTTTTTCTCAGCTCATCTTTTTTCAATAAACTTAATGACGTTACTGACGTGACGTTCTAAAAAAAGTTTATGAGTGGTCAATTTTCAAAATTTCCGTTTTTTAATCATAAAGAATAGTTAAATAGTGAACTTTTTCACATGTAATTTAATGACCGGATAATAGGGTAAATACAGGTTTGCTTCAAGTAGCATCTCTTTTCATCTTTTAAATAACGGTAACACACATAGCCATCACGTATCATTGTTGGGCGCGCAAAAATAAATTCTTTGTAATTGAAAAAGTCAGACACATGTTAACTTTACCGAAAAAGCCAGATACATGTACAGTACATGTTAATGTTAACTTATCTTTGAGTGTATTCTCGAACTTGACACAGATATATATAAATGAGTTATTTGAAATTAATAAATTACAATAACTAAAAAAACGATCATGACAGCATTTCTAATCCAATTTGTATTCACACTGCTATTCCTTGGTGTAATTTCATTCTCATTTATATCTCGACAACAGAAAAATGTTACCGATGTTAACGGCGGCGTCAGTAAAGGCATTCCATTACCAGGACCGTCAGGGCTACCAATAATCGGAAACCTGCTCCAAGTCGGCAACATGATGCATTTGAAATTCACCGAATGGGCAAAACGGTATGGACCAATTTTTCAAATTAGATTCGGCACACAAACTTGGATTGTTTTAAATGATCATAAAGTTGTAAAGGATTTGTATATTACTAATGGTGCTTTGAATGCTTCAAGACCTGTGAGTTAGAATTCTTAATATGTAGCTTGATTTATTGACTTTGCATGGGGTGGTGTTTGATTTAATATCTTTTCGTTAAAATAGAAAAATTTAATATTTGGATTATTTTGGCATGGATGGAGGCAAATTGGCATGGCACCCGTAAGTTTTTTTTATATTGGTTTTTCTTAAGTGGCATTCACTGATTAATTTTTTTATATAAACGAAACACATGCAGTATGGGAATTATTGGAAAATAACACGCGCAATTCTCGTTCAAAATATTCGTCAGAATGTTATAGACACTGCATACAAGCCAATAATGTACAAACGCGTGAAAGAATTCATCAGCGTTCTCCACAACAAATCAAATAATGGAGCTAAAGCCTTTGATCCCGGATCCGACATCTCTTTTGTGATCAACTGCACGCTCGCACTAATCATTTTCGGATATCATTCGGAAAAGGTAAACGACGATAAACTTATAAGAGATTACACAAAAGTCGTGCAAGAATCGGGGCGATTTTTCTCTGGTCTAGCGGTATTTCTGGATTTTTTCCCGTTTTTTCAAAATTTTCCTTTTTCGAAAAAGTTTCAGCGGGAAGTAATTGATCATCGAACTCAAATGACAAAAATTTCTGCGGAAATGTTTTCTCATTTAAAAGAAAGGATGAATGAAGATACATGTAGTAATGAATTTTGTTATGCTGCACAACTTTTGAAAGTCATTAATATCGACGAATCATCGGAGCTTGATCATGATGTTGAGAATACCATGTTTAACAAAGATAAAGACGAGAAATATACGATGCATATTATAGATTTTTTGAATTTGTGTAATGTGTTTATGTTGGCTGCTTTGGCAACGTCCTATGAAACTGCACGCTGGTCTTTTGCATTTTTGGCAATGTATCCAGATGTGCAGAGTAGGATACAAAAGGAATTGGATCTTGCAGTTGGTGATAGCAACAAACACTTTTTTGGATTAGAGCATGAACCGCGTTTAAATTATTTAAAAGCAACTATTAAAGAAGTTTTACGTTATAGGTAATATATTATAGTATATCTTCAATTCTTTATATATATTTATATGCTGTTAATGTCCGATTTCAAATTGAAAATAGACCAGTTTTGACATGCAGCATAACTCGCGCGACATCAAAAGAACAAACATACCGTGGATATTATATTCCCGAAAACTCCATAATGCTAATCAATACATATCCAATAAATAACGATCCAGAATTATACCATGAACCTGAAAAATTCAACCCAGAACGATGGCTTGATGAAGATGGCAATTTGAAGCCTTATGACGAGTTAAGAGAACCATATGTAAGTACTATATATGATTTCCGGTTTTTTATCAATCGTTATTTAATGTTGTAATTGATATTCAATAGGTATTTGGACGAGGTCGTCGCGCATGTCCAGGTGATAGCTTTGCAATACAAATCCTAACCATTTTGATTGGCTACACACTTTCAGCTTTTTCAGTAGAACTGGAAAAAGATCCAGTTACCGGGTTTAAAAAGCTAATTAATCTTGAAAGTATTGGTAATAGTTTTGAAAGCATTGCAGAGAATTATAAAGTTTTTTTTATTCCACGATAATCTATCTGTGATTTTAACATTGTTATTTTTAATTTTATTTTAATGAAATTCGATTTTGAAAAGTTTCTACATGTGTCGGTATATTAAGAAATGTATGAAATTATTAAAAAGAATTTTAGCTTTTCTATTAGACATTTGTCACTAGAAAATTCATTTCCTTTTAGTCAATAGACACTATTGTTATTAAAGACGCGTTCGCATAATTATGATACCAACTTAAATTTCGTTCGTAACGCTTGTCTGAAGACATCTTTCGCATAATTTAGTATTTATTTAATAACATTTATAAGCTAACGTTGGTTTGACATCTCCCGCGTAATTTAATATTACTAATTTGGAGAATTTGATCTCTGTAAATACTTGATTGATATTTTGGATATTAGTTGACATTTGAATATATATTATGTTTTATTTATCTAAAGAATTATATATATTATATGAACTTTTATTCAATTTAAATTTTTTATTTCATATATAAAATATTAAATAAATATATTTATAACTATTTATATAATTCTAGAAAAATTTGTGACAAAGCTTATACTTGAGTTAATGGATATCAACATCATTATCAGACTAAAAAGTACTATTCTTGTACTGATTATAATAAGTTTATTAATTCTGTTAGTGAATAATATAATTTACATAAGAAAGAATATTATATAATTCAATATATTAATAGATTATATAAAAAAGTTATGATAAATAAGATTAAACTTAATACTTAAGAAATTAGATTTAAGACTAGACTTTTAATATTATTATAAATTTTGTTTATGATATGAATTTGAATAGTTAAATAAGTTCTAAATATATAAAAAATTAATATATTTTAATATAAAAATAAGATCCAAAATTTTTTTTCAATATATAATAAGTAAGATATATAGAATTAAATTCCAGAAACTTGAAAAACTTAAATTAATATATAAAAAAATAATATGCTTGATAATATTTTTAAAGTATGTAATATAGCAAATTGACTAATACTATCCAGAATTTGTCTTATTATCTATATTACAGATTATCTTCTATATTATATTTCTTAAAGATTAATTTTATACTAATATATAGATAATTAACATATATTAAATTAATTAGAGATAAATATATTATTATAATAATTATTATATATTTCATAATTTTAAATTTAGATTAATAATATTTTTAATTAATTTATTTATAATTATTTTCTTTATATTTTTATTTATTTTTTCTTATATTTATTTATATTATTATTTATTATATTTATAATTATTAAATTATAATTAGTTCTTTTTTGAAGATAAAAATTAAGTTAATTAATTCTGTTTAATTATATATATTTTATTAAATTAATTATTATTAATTTATTTGCATTTTATATTTATTTCTTTTTTAATAAATATATTTTCTTGTTTTATAATTTTATTTTAGATTTAAATATTATTTAAATATTAAAAATCATAAGTTTTATAAATTAAAACTATTCACTTTATATTTTTATTTTGTTTATAATTATTAACAAATAATCTTATGATCAAAATCTTAATATAATATTATAATTATATCTTAGATAATATTAATTAATAATACTATAATATTTTTTATATTCAAGAAAATATATAAAAGAATTTGCTTTTTCAAATTAATATAAATAGTTTTGAATTGAATTATTTGAAAAATATAACTAAAAAGCTTATTATTATTTCTTTTATAATTATATTAATACTATTTCTCTTACTTAATTTTATTCTTTTAAATTATATAGTATTAATTTGAATTTTTATTATAATATTATATTAATTTTGATTTGAATTTTTATTTTTGATATTTTTAATTTTAATATTATTATATTTTCAATTTGATATTTTTGATTTTTATATTTTTATAATTTGATTTATATTTTGATTAGTATTAGTTATTTTATAATTTAATATAATTTTTTTAATTAATAATAATTTTACTTATTAATCATTATAGATTTTTTAATTTAATTTATTTTTTACTTTTATATTTTTATTTTTTTTAAATTATTTTATAAGTTCAATTCTTTTATAATAATATTTATAGATATTAATACAAATTTTAAAAATTTTTACTAATATTTATATTTCTTTTATTTTAATTCTTTATATTTTATAATAATTTTCAGTAAAATTTATTATTCTGAATTATTTTAATATATTTTTAATATTCTTTTTGTAAAATTTAAAATTTATATATTTTATATATATTATTATAGACTTTTTTATATTTTATTATTTGAATAATTAATAAATAATTGTATTTTGAATTTTCATAATAAATTATTATTTTTTATTAGATTATTTATAAATTATTATTTAGATATTTATAGAAATCCTGAATTTAATAATATTAAAATTCTCTTATAATAATTTTATTCTTTTTATCATTCTTTTCAAGAGTTATTTTCACTTTAATTTTTTATTTTTTATATTTTAATTGAAAATATTAGAATAATATCTTTAAATTAAATTATATATTATTATTTAATAATTAATTCAAATTAATTTTAAAGAAATATATTCTATTTGATTTAGATAAAGAATAATTTATTATTAAATATCTTATTATTTAATATATATAATAATAATTATAATTAATATAATAAAAAAAAGATTTTTATTAAATTGAATTATAATTTTATTATTAATAGTATTATTTCAAAATAAATATATGATTAGTGTAAAATATATATTATATTATTTATAATTATTTTTTGTAAAAATCAGATAATTATATTTATACTATATAAATATTATATAAAAAATAATTTTATTAAGTATTATTTATATATTATATTATATTATAGTCTTTTGATCAAAAAACTAAAGTGTAAAGATTGTAACAATTTTGATTGGGTTATCTTCCTTTAGATCTCTTTTAGTTTAGATCTTCATTTTGCGCTATCTGTATAAC